ACCCCTTTCACCCTGGGCTTTTCTCTAACTGTAGCTTCCAAATCTTGATTTTTTCTGGAAACTAGTCTCGGTTTATGGTTTGATTGTCCAGTGTGAGGCAACTTTTCTTGAATTCTGTTCTTCCCAGATGGCTGTAAGGGTTCTGTTTTAAATACAACTGACTTCAAAGTGTGTTTTTCTACAGAGTATGCTTTGGACCTGAAGGTAGTTTTACCTTTGTAAGACAATTGTTTTGCTTTTCTCACAAGTTTTTGATGAAGGGATAAAAGTTTTTTAATTGGAAGATTATCCAGATTCTCGCAAAAACCAAGTTCTTTGGTAGCACTGGATTTCCTGTTGGAGAAACAAAAGTAATCAAGAAAGCAGAAAAACAAAGGATTTTGTTTCTTGTTGTCTTATCCGTGCTCCGAATTAAGAAACTATATTATGGTGACGTAGCTAATCCCACAGCTCCCCCTCCAAAAACAAAAACATATGAAGTTCATTACACACAAAGAGGCAATCACAACCACATTTGGGAAACTTTAAAACAATTTACCAGAACATATCAACCAAAGTGTGTGATCTAAAGTAACTATTTTAATATGAGAAACAAGAACAAGTGAAACTTGGCCAATTTGACTGCCCCCTACAATATTTCTGTGAAAAGCTTAGAACCTTTTTTTGTAACTTTTAATGCCTCTTCTTCAAAGATAGTTTAAAATGTTATAGATTCTCAGAAGTTTCAAATGCAAGGTAAGTGGAATAAAAAGATGGGTGTTTGCAGACCAGGAATAAGACAGTGGTTTTCTCAATCAGAGTTTTCAAGTTAACCAAGTCTGTGTCCAAATGTCCACCCTAATGCTGGTGAAGATTTTCAGTCATCCAGGTTATACCGGTAGTCATCCCAAAAAAGAAAAAAAACAACAAAAAAACCCCCAAAAAAAAAAATAAAAAAAAAAACAATCCACTGGACTTTGTTTCCAAGTCTGAAGACGCGTAGCTTCACATCCAGGAAATATTTTCAATTCAAAATGTCAGAAATAGCATTGCATTTGAGGCTTTATAGAATGGACCAAAACCAAAGCCTTGTTTTGGCTTGGAAAACATGCATATTGGACCGGACCAACGGTTCCACCCCTTAGGAATGGGGGTTGTTAATACCCGATACCGGTCTATGTCTCTGAAAGGGGTCTTTACAGGGAACTGTTGGCCTGGCTGAACAGGCAATGTGTGTTTTGGTGCACTCTTTGGTCCCCACTCTATACTGTGATTGAGGGATTTAGGGGTTAGGGGGGGCGTTTGGACACAGCCCCAGTGTTACTGAATACTTCAACACTATGTGAAGTGAAGAGAAGAAAAAAAATGTAAGATTTTATCTGTATGATACAAAAAAAAAGCAACTTACATTTTACAATGTTTTTTCAGCGTTTCTGTAGTTTTGTAGAGGACCTTCTTTGAAGTGACATCCTGGATAAAAGAAACATTGTAAAGTAAATGGTTCGGATTAGTGATGATTAAAAAAAAAACATTTTTACAAACACTAAAAAGAAAAAGTTTCAGCATTAAATTGTTGTATGTAAATATACAAACAAATGCACTGAATTACAGCGCAAGTTTTTTTCCCTTCCTTCTCTAGCAAATACAGTGGTGTCAAAGTCGTTGAAGGTCAGTGTCCCGCTATATCTGAAAGTTTGCCTGAAACAAAGCACATTGCCCTCTTACCCCTCTTTGTATTCTTTGTTTCATCATAAATATCTGCTGTGGCACGAGGAACCGCCCACCTCTATCATCTGCCAGTTATACAGATCTAGTCCACTTTTGACAGAAGATGAAACGAAACATATGACTTTCAAAAATAACCAAAGGAGCCAACTGGAAGCCAATCACAGGTTGAGTGAAATGGATCCAGTAATTTCTAACATACAAGCTTTTATTTTCATTTTATTTATTGTAGAATTTCAGTGTCCTTGTCCTTTTTATCTGGAAAAGGACACTGAAATCCTACAATAAATCTTACTCTTAATCAAGAAATCATTCTCCCCGTGTGTGCAAATACACTTTTTCCCTAATTGCTGCTAATTCTAAACAAGTTGTGCAAATGTGGGATCAGTTTTTGTTTATAATCACAACAGCTGAGCCTCTCTCCATCAATTCATGATGCTGAATCTGTTTTATCAATTTCATACTGATAACTTATTCAGAGAAAGACTTTAAGCACAACTCCTTTTCATGGTAATCAGCATTTGTTCTGGTTATCATACTAGACTGAAATTAGGTTTGCTCAAATCTTGTGGATCGGGAAGTATGAGCATCTCTGCTTAGACTGCTGCCCCGCGACCCGGCCCCTTGATAAAGCAGAAGAAAATGCATTGATGGAAAATGAAGTTATACTCTGAGATAATAGAAACAGGCAAAACCAAATCTCTGCTCCTTAAGTTTAAAAGATCTACATTACAGCTAACATTTTAGCAGTTTATTAGGGCTTCAAAGTTTATTTTTTCCCCAGCGTTTTATTGTCATTACGCTCTCACAAGCATGCTCAACGAAATTCACCCTCTCATTTAAACAATCCCCTTAAATTAGCAGTGGGCTGCCGTATGCGGCGCCCGGGAGCAGTGTGGGGCTAAAAGTCTTTGATCAGGGACCTTGACTGGTAGTGGGTTTCGAACTCACAACCTCAGAATTCCAGGCTCTATGGTCTAACCCAGGGGTGGGCAATTCCAGTTCCTGGGGGCCGATATCCTGCAACTTTTAGATCCATCCTTGGTCCAACACACCTGATTCAAATAGCTGTTACCTTCTCAGTATGCAGTCAGTTCCTCCAGCGTCCTCTCAATCTATTTATTTGATTCACATTTGTTGAACCAAAGGCACATCTAAAAGTTGCAGGATACCGACCCTAAGGAACTGGAATTGCCGACCCCTGCTCTAACCACTAAGCCACCACTCCCCACTGCAAAACCTAGAAACAAGGTTTCTGGGTTTTGCAATATACCGTAGAAACTGAAAGTTAAACTCAAAATGCATACCAACCTTGGGTCTTATAGAAGATTTTGCCTGTTTAGAAGAAGATGACGAAGTGCTTCTACCAGATAATTTTTTTAGAACTTTTCTGACTTTTTTGTCCTGTGAGGGTAATGAAGACTTCGTTGACGAATCCTCGTTTTCGGCTAGTTTTGCCAGTAAGGCAGGAACCACCAAATTTACAACTTCTTCAATGTTGGACTGTCTTGACAACGATTGGACAGCTAAAAGATAAAAAATAGGAGTAAATTATTAGCACAACATACAGACATTCCACAAAATAAAAAGTTACTGACACATACAGTGAGGAAAATAAGTATTTGAACACCCTGCCATTTTGCAAGTTCTCCCACTTAGAAATCATAGAGGGGTCTGAAATGTCATCGTAGGTGCATTTCTACTGTGAGAGACATAATCTAAAAATAAAATAATCCAGAAATCACAATATATGATTTTTAAAGTAATTGTATTATGAAACTCAAAGACCTGTTAGTCTGCCTTCAAAATGTCCAGCGCCACTCCATTAGTTATCTTTAATTAGATGCACTTGTTTGAGGTCATTAGCTGAGTAAAGACACCTGTCCACCCCATTCAATGAGTCAGAATCCAACTACTTACATTGCCAAGACCAACGAGCTGTGCCAAGACACTACAGACTAAATTGTACACCTCCAAAAGGACGGAAAGGGCTACAGGGAAATCGCCAAGCAGCTTGGTGGAAAAAATGGTCCACTGTTGGAGCAATCATTAGAAAATGGAAGAAGCCAAACTTGACGGTCACTCTCCCTCTGACTGGGGCTCCATGCAAGGACACACCTCGTGGGGTATCAATAATCCTGAAAAGGGTGATAAATCAGCCAAGAACTACACAAGAGGAGCTGGTCAATGACCTGAAAAGAGCTTGGACCACTGTTTCCAAGGTTACTGTAATACACTAAGACTTCATGGTTTGAAATCATGAAATCAAGAAAATTGTTGAGTACCATCCAAAGAGCACCATTCCTACTGTGAAGCATGGGGTGGTAGCATCATGCTTTGGGGGTGCTTTTCTGTACATAGGACAGGGCAACTGCACTGTAATAAGGAGAGGATGACCGGGGCCATGTATTGCAAGGTTTTGTGGAACAACCTCCTCCCCTTAGTTAGAGCAATGAAGATAGGTGGAGGCTGGGTCTGCCAACATGACAATGACCCAAAGCAAACAACCAGGATAACCAAGGAGGGGCTCTCTAAGAAGCATATGAAGGTTATCACTTGGTCTAGCCAGTCTCCAGACCTAAACCCAGTAGAGACTCTTTAGAGGGAGCTAAAACTCGATGTTTCTCAGTGACAGCCCAGAAACCTGACTGATCTAGAGAAGATCTGTGTGGAGGAGTGGGCCAAAATCCCTCCTGCAGTGTGTGCAAAACCGATGAAAAACTAATGGAAACGTTTGACCTCTGGAATGGCAAACAAAGGCTACTGTACCAAATATCAACATTGATTTTCTCAGGTGTTCAAATATTCATTTTCCTCACTGTATGTAATGTTTAGAGAAAAAAAAAGAAATTCAGAAAATTTCCCAGATCAAACCTGAATCATCCAGCAGCTGCTTTTTCAGAATTTGAATACTGCCAGACTTCTTTTTCTGAGAATATAGTTCTTCTTCAAGGGATGCACTTCTTTTGCGCTTTCTAATAACCAATGAAATTTCTTCATCTCCCTTCTTAGGCAATGATTGTTCCTCATCTCGTCTTGGTAATGATTGTGGTCTGTGGTTCTTTTGTGGCATCCCCTGTTTGTCATCAGTCTTGGGAGATCTCCATCTCTCACTGGTTCTTGTTGGCGACAACTGTTTGTCATCATTTGCTCTTGGTGGTGAACATCTCTTATCAGAACCATTTCTTGGAGATGACAGTCTTTTACATTTTGTTGTTGGTGACCATCTTTTACTACAATACTTTTGTGGGACAGACAGACTCATGAGGCTATTTATTGGTGACAACCGTCTGTAGTCAGTACTCGGAGAAAATTGAAAATTGACAGGGCTCCTTCCCCTCGACGACCGGCGCACAGGGCTCCTTCCCCTCGACGACCGGCGCACAGGGCTCCTTCCCCTCGACGACCGGCGCACAGGGCTCCTTCCCCTCGACGACCGGCGCACAGGGCTCCTTCCCCTCGACGACCGGCGCACAGGGCTCCTTCCCAATGACGACCGGCGCACAGGGCTCCTTCCCCTCGACGACCGGCGCACAGGGCTCCTTCCCAATGACGGGCGTCGCACAGGGCTCCTTCCCCTCGACGACCGGCGCACAGGGCTCCTTCCCAATGACGACCGGCACACAGGGCTCCTTCCCAATGACGACCGGCGCACAGGGCTCCTTCCCAATGACGACCGGCGCACAGGGCTCCTTCCCAATGACGACCGGCGCACAGGGCTCCTTCCCCTCGACGACCGGCGCACAGGGCTCCTTCCCCTCGACGACCGGCGCACAGGGCTCCTTCCCAATGACGACCGGCGCACAGGGCTCCTTCCCAATGACGACCGGCGCACAGGGCTCCTTCCCCTCGATGACCGGCGCACAGGGCTCCTTCCCAATGACGGGCGTCGCACTGGGCTCCTTCCCCTCGACGACCATCGCACTGGGCTCCTTCCCATCGACGACCGTCGCACTGAGCTCCTTCCCCTCGACGACCGTCGCACTGGGCTCCTTCCCCTCGACGACCGTCGCACCGGGCTCCTTCCCCGCGACGACCGTCGCACTGGGCTCCTTCCCAATGACGACCGCCGCACAAGGCTCCTTCCCAATGACGGCCGCCCCACAGGGCTGCTTCCCAATGACGGCCGCCCCACAGGGCTGCTTCCCAATGATGGCCGCCGCACAGGGCTGCTTCCCAATGATGGCCGCCGCACAGGGCTGCTTCCCCATGACGGCCGCCCCACAGGGCTGCTTCTCAATGATGACCGCCGCACAGGGCTGCTTCCGCTTGACAGTTGCGGCTTGCGATTCCTCCTTGGTGAAACATTTTTTTTATGAATTCTCTTTGGTGAAGAGTGCTTCTCATAGCTTCTTGAACGGGTGAGAGCTGAATGGTCACTACACTGGGACCAAGACCTTGACCTAGACCTTGAGACAGGGTGTTGGAGGTGCCGAGAGGAAGGACTGTTTGATCTATTTTTTCCATCTCTAGAGCTGTGGTGGTCAGGGGAATGGCGATGAGACAACGAGCTCGTGCTGGATCCGTTTTCACTATGTCTTGGTCTGCTGTGGCATGAGGTATATAAACCAACACGACTGCTTGATTTGTGCTTTGCATCTCTTGAGCTACTATTGGATTTTTTCATTCCATCTCTTGAGTTGCTCCGATGACATGGACTACGAGAGCGGGAAGATGTCTGACGGCGGGATCTTTCCACTCTCCCTCTTGAGCTGGAGCTGTTGGAGCGGGAGCGACTATCACAAATGGTGTATTGGAGACGATTAGAGGAGGTTGGGGGCAGGGATTTATCCCTTATCGTTGAACCACTGAAAAGAACATTGAACAATAAGAGAAAAACAAATTACCCAAAAAAAAAAAAAAACTTGGTAATAGTGAGAAGACTATTTGCATCTACCTGCTATTAGTATTTATATTTGGAAGACAGTAATTTACCTTTTCAACGATGGTACCTGTCCATCCCAATTAGGGTATCTGTAGAAATTTTTTTTAAATATCTTAAGTACATTAAATCCCTTTCTTGTAGCAACATATAGTCCATTAAGCCCAGTCTGATTTCAGGTTCAAGAAAAAAAAAAAAAACGTTATAAAAACTTTAACTTAACTTTGATTTCTAAGGTGTAATTCAAGAGCAAGAAATTTTCCGAAAAAGAGTTTTCTTAAACTGCCTTCTTCCCTTTTGAAGCTTCACCACTATTGATTAAACTACATTATGTACACTAACAGAGAAAACATTACATTATAGTTGAATACAAAAAATCTTGTAAAGAAATGTAATGTACTAACTGGTGTTGAAGGCGTAGGCAGTTCACATTGTGAAAGGTGCTGTTTAGGTGGTCAACCCAATCCTAAAAAAAAATGATTAAATTAATTACAGGAAACAAAGGGTCTCTTTGAAAGACCAATACATTTTTGAACCATAAAATTAAAATGTAAATATAATGGAAAAAATAAAGCTAATATTTAAAGGGCATTTACTTCAATGTATGGCAGTTTTAAAAAAACTGGACTGTAAGCAAAGACACTAACTTAGATGTATGTAGGTTCTCTTAAACTCAGGATGTACTAACAGTGATGATTGGTGCATGGAAAAATGACGGGATTAAATTTGATTATCAAAACAGAGAATCAGAACTGGCTACACAAACTGAAAATGCAGCGGGGAAATTATCTATTCAATTTTAATGTCTTATCTTCACAAATTCAGCTTAAAAAGTTCAAGATCTATAATAAACTGCTGCCTCAAAAGCCAAAAAATAAAGCGTTTTCTCTAAAATAAGATAATGCTACATTAACCAACTCACCTTAAATTCAGCACATTCTTTCTTGCATAAAATGCAGGTGTGTGGAAATTTTGTTGGCATATGTGCGGCATAATCACGCATCATAGCCAGAGATGGTAGGTCCTTAGAGGACTCGGTCTTGGCTGGGGATTGAGATTTAGGAGGTGACACCTTAGTAGTGTTGTCATCATTTATGATAGTCAGAGACACGTTGGAGACAGAATCATTAGAGGTAACCGGATCAGGCAAAACAACTGTTGAGACAACTGGCTTTGCAGGATTTAAAGAAGATGCAGAATCCTGTTTTGCAGCAGAAGACTCCGGGGGTTGCAAACTTAGAAGAATCTGCAATACTTTGAGAAAATTGGCTTTCTGGGACTTTTGCTGATTCTCTATTGGGTCTTCAATATTCGATCCTTGCTCTTGGGCTGTTTTCTCACCACCAGATATGGTAGCTCTTTTTTTATGCTGTGGAGGTAATGGCTGAGACGTATGTTTTTGCTGGGGATCCATGTTTTCAGCTGGATTACTGCTTGGACGCGCCAAAACATTACAGACTGAGTTTAGACTGGCAACAGATACCATTTGGTCATCTGGACAGACCAAACTTCTGTTCTTTAACGTTGTCAAACTTTGTTGTTTTGCTTCTTCACCTAAGCCACTGCTCTGAAAACTATCCATAGAAAAAGACTTCTCAGGAATCCAGGTTGTATTACGAATGTTCTCTTTCTCTGCAATATGCTCTCCTGTATATGCACATCCAATCGCTTCAACTGGTTGGAAATTATTATTGGGCCTTTGATCTTCAGGCATTCCTGCTTGCCCAAAACTAAACTGGGTAATTCCACTTGGGCATGTATGATTTAGTTGGGTTTGAAGTCCTATACTTTGTCCAATTTGGTAAGAAGGCACCACCAGAGATGACCCCATCTGATCATCTGAAGAACGCAAATCTTTACTTAGGTTGCTACCTGTAAAACTTTCTGTCTGCAAGGAGTTTATGCAGCTCACTGCTTTACTCAGAGTACCCCTGCCAGTTATGGCATCAACCTTGGCAGGGCATGCCGCAGTGCCTTCATAATTTGTCACTTTAAGTGGCTGAAGAGAAGCTGACATCTTATCCTGCGATAATCCCGGGTGTCCAAAGCGAACACATGTATCTATTCCACTTAAGCTTGTTGGGTTGGAGTTAGACTGAACTGCAGATGCAGCACCCATAGCTTTCTTCATACGAAGGTTGTTTAAGAGGTAAGGCAAGTTCTGAGCAGTGGTCTGTTCTTCAGAGTAATTTAGAAGTTCTTCCAAGTCTGATTTTTCAAGTCCGTAATTTTTTAAGATGTTTTCAGCCATTTGAGGATTACGACTTTGATAACTAGGCTCAGAAGGAAGTCTTTGGCCTACTGCGGCAGAGCCGCACGTGGGTGCATTTGATGTAGATTTCAAAAGATCTCCAGGAGTAGTTTTCTGCCCTGACAACCAGTTGTAGAAATTACTGCTACTGCCGGTGCTTGAGTGTTGATATTCGTAGGAAGCTGAAAAGACATGACCGGCAGTCACCTTCTGGGCCGAAATGGAAAGGTTGTCTTTCTGAGTGATGGTAAAGAACGGGTCTGCAGGCTGATGTCCAACCACCTCTCTGGGGGGAATGTTGACGGTATTCTGCGAGCTGTTATCCATAGTTGTCAAAGTTTTTTCAGGCACGTTTGCAGTCGATAAAGAAGAGCATTCAGTATTTCTTCCGGAATATGATGCATGAGTCCCAGGTCCAAGATTTTGTGCCGTCCTCCAATTATCTATGTCAGCTTGCCCACCAAAGAATCTATCTTGCCCCTGGGCAGCACTGGGTTTCCCAAATGAGTTGTTTATGACATAAGACATTGGGAGACAGATGTTTGTCCGATGTTTAGGAAGATTTATGGCAACAGTATTTATTGACGTGGTTTTGCAGCCAGTGCAGGCTGAGGCTTCAGATGAGTCGGGTAAAAGGTTATATCCGTTCCACAAAACCCACGGATGAGCCTGCGTGGCCCATAGAGTGGTCCTTTACCTTCCCTCAATAGGTAAGACAGGAGGCATCGTACTCCATCAGCAGGAAAGGCTGAAAACAAAGGAATAAAGAATGGCTGTTAAATAGGACTAAGTACCAACATCAAATAATCTTCATTGATCAGCTAACTCATCTAGCAAAAAAGAGAATAACATAAGAAATAAAAAAACATAGTAATATTTTTTACTGATTTGTTCACAGATGAATGATTGTGACTGATGATTGTTACTTTTCCAAACATTAAACCTCCACAGAGATTAGAACAGCACAGTATAGCTAAGTTTCAGCACTAACCAACTGCATTTATACAAGATATGTTGCTTGGTCACAATTTATTCTTCCCAATAAAACTGATGTTCGGACAATTTAACCACAAAAACAGACAGTTTCTCTGTAGTTTCAGGCTTGTACCAACTTCTTTTCTGTATTGTAATATTCAAGCACAAATCAACATTATTCTTTTTTAAAGGACTGGTAGAAAAAGAGGAAGAAATGCAGAGCTTCCTGTGATGCAACTGAATCTGCATTTACCTTGCCTCGTTTCTGCTCTTCTAGGATTACAAACACAGCACTAGTAAAAATTAGGGGAGGATTCTTTTGTTGTGCACATTTGCATTGTTTTACTGTAGCTCTTTCCCCTGTTAGTTGTTAATCTGTAATGGATGGGGCTTCCTAAAAAGGGGCTAAATGTTCTCACAAAGAGGAAGGCTAAGAACCACTAAGGGTTTCCTTGTAACAAAGCTTAAACCATCAAAATTTAGTCAGACTTCCAATAGGAAATGAAAAGCGGTAAAAGGTAGGACTGCAAGATTTTGCAGACAAAAAAAATAAATTGGGATTATTTGAACCAGTATTGCCATTGCCTTTTAACTTTGATTTTCCTTTGCACTAACCACAAGCTTGTAGAGGACTATTTCTATGGTTTGACTTTGGAAAAAGCTTGCTTATCCAGAGCCCATTATTTAAAGACTTTGCAAGAAAAGGTGCTTGCTTGTTTAACTCTTTCTATCTTTCTGTGTGCAGGCAAACCCACTATAAGTGTAATACCTAAATGTCTGCAGAGATAATTGTAGTGTCTTTCTCTTGTTAAATGTAATGTGACCAACATTAAATGCCTCTTCAATTTGAAAATTGCATTGAGTTATGATTATATTGCAAATGCAATTAATTGTCCAGTCCAAGTAAAAGGTAAAGTTGAATAACTGTGTACGGTTTTTATGTTTTTTCATTCTAAAAACATAAAAATTTGCACCAAATTAAATTAGACAGCATTTAGCCTAAATTCCGTAAAAATTCAAAAAATATCCACTGGACTTGGTTTTCAAGATTTGAAGACGTTTCGCCACCTCTCCAGGAAGCTTTCTCAATTCAAATGTCTGGATCCGCAGTGAGTTTGAGTCTTATATAGACAACGCCTTGTATCGCTTGGAAACATGCAATGGAAACCGATGAATGGGTCGTTAGTTCCATCGTTTGCCTGTAATACCTGAACCTGTCTATGATTCTAGGGGTCGGTCGTTAAAGCCATTTAGCCTAAAGAATAGATTTTTTTTGGAATTATTTGCTTTCTTAATATAAGAGATAATAAGATTTGACTAAATGATTGTCATTTAAAACCTATATAACTAATCATTTTCTGATTTTTTTTTTTTTTTTGTGAACTTAACACAATGTGCATCAAAGAGTTAGATAACTGCTGATGAAAATAGAGGTTTTAAAATGAGAGAGCTCTCAGTTTTTTCTTTTTGCATTATGCAAGTACCAATACAGGAGCGTAAAGACTTTATAACTCTTCAAATTAAGAACACACCATTTTCTGCAATCCTCACATTTACTTATGCTGTCTAAATGAAATTTAACTTTGCCTTCTTTGTTAATTTTCTTATATTTGTTAAAACAAGACAGTTCCTGTGCAGTTAACTAACCAGTGCACTAAAAGCTGTATCAGCTGCTCCCAGACAGGAACACAATGTGCCCCCTTTTTTTTTTTTTTAACTAAAGCTGATTCCCATCTGTATCAAAATGTTCAAATCTATCCAATTCGTAGCCAGGCTTGGAGACCGGAAGGACAAAATGTTCTTACCGTTCCACAGACGACCTTGTGGTGATAGAGGTTTTACTGCGGCCTCACCTCGAACCCAGCAATACACTTGATTTGTAAAAAGACACAGATTTTTGATCAATAGCCGATTTTTTATTATTTTTTTTTAGATCAAATTTCACCTTTTTTTCTTTTATTAGGGCAGGTTTTTAAAACATACACTGATGCAGAGCCTCGGATTTTATCCACGTTGTGTTTAAACCTGCTTCTTCTTGTTTCTTTCATATTGATTTTTGTTAGCACATAAGTTACAGTTGTGCATATGAATGAGTGATTAAGAAGACTCTTGTTGGAGGTGAAAACCATCAGAAAAGAGGCGGTAACTCTAGAAAATGACTGTTTAATGGCTGAAGGCAGGGCCTTGACCCCTTAGACGGAGACTTTTCAACCCTGCTTAGAGCCTTTGGCTACATTTACTGTATAAAGATAAATCTGAGATCACTTTGGGTTTTTTTGTTCGAGAGAAACTATCAATAGAAAAGGAATCAAACTAGAACATTAAGATGGTTATATAATCACCTATAAAGCATTCGGTACATTGTCAGAGCTAAAGTATAGTAAGGTGTTGAACAGTTATTGTTAAAACCCGAGGAACTTTACCTACATACCTTTGCTGATCTAAGTAGCAACTACCCCCACCCCACCCCCACTGTTTACTGCACAGGGGGGGGGGGGGGGGGGGGATAAAAGCTGACTATTTGCAAATGTTTAAGTTCTCAAAAACACAGAAATTGATTTTATAAACACTATATATGGTCACTAAAATATCCTGCAAAACAGAGATATAGTTTGTGCTCACCCTTCATTAAAAAAAGGAGCAGGTTGCATTTGTTAAGTAGCAGTGAGCATGCTTTTTATGTGCAGATGGTGATACAGTTGAAGTATGTTTCACTGCAGAACACACTTTAAATGAGTAAATCTACATACAACCATTAAAATAACATTACTCTCAAATGCATTGATCTGACCTGTAAAAATGCAACAAAATCGTGCAACAAATCCTCTAAAAACTAATCACGAGGGACATATCTGCTGTTTACATGGTTAAAATACAAACTTTTTTCACAAACTTCATGGATTTCTCAACTAATAATACAGGACAAATATAACGACGTTTAAAACAATGATAAAGTGTTATAGAAGTGCTTGAGAATCAAACATTTTAATGTCGTTTATTGTTTTACTCGGACGTTTGGTTGTGTCTTACCTTGTGTTTTGTTTGGTTCATGTGGAGCTGTAGGCACACGCTGCCTGCAGAAGGCGTGATCTCACTTTGAGCGACGCAGCGAGGCATTGTCTTCTTCTACGCCTAAATTGAAAGGAACGAATGCCTCTCTACTGCCACCGCCTGGATGGAGGGGGAAATGGTGCATCACTTTTCTATCTGTAAATCGAAATGTCTCACAGGGAAGGAACTAGATGGGGGGCCTGGGTTGGCCCTCGGCCACCAATCTGTGGCCACCCCTACCATTTTTTCCCCTTTAATACAGATGGTGGCAACAGTAATACTCTCAAGTGGAATATTCAAAACATTTTAATTTTTTGTGGTTAATTATACACATGAATAAAATAACATCAAAGATGATAAGTACAGAATTCATGCTCATTTTAGAGTAAAATTTTGTTTTATATGGGGTAAAGAGAAAAATATGTGTCTCTGCAAGTTATCTGGGTGTCTTCAGTGAATTTAAAGATAAATAACAATTTTAATAAAAAATATCAAATAATCAATTTATGTAGATATTAATGTTGTAAATATTATTTTTATGCAGAATGTTTATTGATGCAGGTAGGTAGGTAATGACAATGGAAAAGACTTACACCCACGAACTCAAAAGTGAGTTTTATCCATTATATCTTTTATCTATAAATTACGGATGTTTAGATATATGTGTCTATTTGTTAGCAAAGGCTGTAGGAAAGTAGCCTGGGAGCCATTCCGAACTTAGTCCCGCCCACAACGTTTGAGGTCGGGAAGTTCGGTCTGGCATTGCTCAGTAGTAGCGCGAGTATGCTCGCACAATATCTGGCGGGCCAATCAAATTGTCAGGGCGGGCTTTATACGATGATGGACAGATGATCAACAGTAACGTTATCAACCATGTGACCAAAGCGCGCATGGGTGACAACAACAATGGCTGCTGCTGGAGAGTTGAGGTGTGTAGATTCTGCTATTAGGTCTGTTCTAGAAGATATCGACAGCAAATTAATTTTAAAAGAGGAACAGAGAAACGCGATCTTATTCTAGGCGTGCAACTGCACGCTTTGATTTTTGTTGACAACAACTGTGTCTGGCTTAACATACGTCACGCACTCCGTTGCTCTTATTGGTTGTAGGTCTATCCAATTGAGTGCAGAGGCATTTTTTTCCTGGTTCGTTCAAAACACGCCCCATAATCACAGCTCTATGGAGCAGTATCAGACTCATATTCTGACTAGAATTGAGTAGGACTACGTCATGCTAGTAGGAAAGTATAGTTTGTCTTTATTTAGAAAATATGGATGCTTTTCTTGTTACTTTTCCTGTTGGAACAGCGTAGATTGACCCTGAGGTTCTGGTGCCGATCCGCTTTCGGCCACCCCTCAGTGTACGTTGGTTATTGCCTGGCCACCCTTACAGTAGAAACATTTTCTGCCTACGCCTCTGATCTCTAAAGTACGCCGGAGTTTTAGGGCCAGGGTAGAGATTTTTTCTTCTATTTGAGAATAAAGTAACATTATGGGAATAAAGTCGTAAAATTACGAGAATAAAGTCATAACATTCCAAGAATAAAGTAATGAAATTAAGAGAATAAAGTCATAAAATTCCGAGAAGAAAGTCGTAAAATTCCAAGAATAAAGTCGTAAAATTACGAGAATAAAGTCATAACTTTACGAGAATAAAGTCATGAACTTATGAGAAAAAAGTCGTAACATTACGAGAATAAAGTCATGAAATTATAAGAATAAAGCCGTAAAATTCAGAGAATAAGTCGTAAAATTCCGAGAATAAATTTGTAAAATTATGAGAATAAAGTCGTAAAATTATGAGAATAAAGTCGTAAAATTCCAAGAATAAATTCGTAAAATTATGAGAATAAAGTCATAACATTACGAGAATAAAGTCGTAAAATTCCAAGAATAAATTCGTAAAATTATGAGAATAAAGTCATAACATTCCGAGAATAAAGTAATGAAATTATAAGAATAAAGCCGTAAAATTCAGAGAATAAAGTCATAAAACTCCGAGAATAAAGTCATAAAATTCCGAGAATAAAGTCGTAAAATTCCAAGAATAAAGTCGTAAAATTACGAAAATAAAGTCATAACATTACGAGAATAAAGTCATGAAATTATGAGAATAAAGTCGTAAAATTCAGAGAAAAAAGTCGTAAAATTCAGAGAATAAATTTGTAAAATTATGAGAATAAAGTCGTAGAATTCAGAGAAAAAAGTCATAAAATTCCAAGGATAAATTCGTAAAATTATGACAATAAAGTCGTAAAATTATGAGAATAAAGTTGTAATATTAATTCAATTCAATTCAGTTTATTTATATAGCGCCAATTCACAACAGAAGTCTTCTCAAAGCACTTTAGAGTTCAACCATTCATATTAACAGAATAACGTAATAGAATTGCGAGAATAAAGTTGTATTTTATGACAGCTCTTAAAGGAAGCACTTTCTTCACTAAAATGAAGAATGTCGAGCATTATGTGAAGTTATACTTTGGCTATGGTTTGACAAATAAGGAAATCTTTTAGTACACCAGCATCAAATTGGGCAGCATGTCAAAGTGGGCTCAGATTGCTGATTGATGGTCAGCCGTCATCTGCTGGTCAGAGCTCAAAGCTTTCTTTCTAAAACGGGTTGTTGTATGATGACTTTATTCTCGTAATGTTATGACTTTATTCTTGTAATGTTACGACTTTATTCTAAAACAAAAAACAAAAACAAAAAACAACAACCTCTAGCCTGGCTCTAATACTCCGTCGTACTACTAAAGTACAGCCACTGATTACTATTTATTCACTGGATTGGAGATAGACCGAAGAAACTGAAGTCACCTTTCGCCATCTTGGTACTCCCCACTTTCACGGAGTCACACCATGAAAATACCTGTAATTCAATATGTAATTACCATGACAATGTAATCAATACATGTACCGGTATACTACGTATACATCATCAATTTAGTACTTTTTACTTTTTATCATCAGTGTGTGTGTGTGCATGTGTAATATTCTTTATATCTGACTAAATTATTATTACACTCCACTAACACACTCATTTTGTTGTGATGGATTTGAATAATATTTCATAATACCGTACATATGATTTATAGACTTCATGGACTTCATACTGAATATGTAATGTGACGTGCCTATGCTATGAAAAAGTAAGTGTGTGTCAAGGTGATTAATTCCTCTTTATTTTAATTCTTATGCTGTAGCGCACATATTGTTTACCAGTACCAATATGACGGCAAGCGGCTTCACTCCACCCAGTGCTACCAATGGGCTATTAGCAATCCAGTGAATAGAGATCAGTGAGTACCAGCTCCAAATATGACTGGTATCGTGTCTAAAAGATAATGTTTTGTGATTTCTTTTTTGATATATTTTTTTCTATATTCGGAGTTGGTCTGTAATCACATCCTAGTAAGGTGCACTAAAAACCAGAAGGTTGTTGTGCTCAGTAAACAAACTCTCATATGATTAAAAGCAAATAAAAAACAACATGCACAAATAAGTGTAACCGAAATATTTCAGAGACAATGAAAACTACAACATGAGTGAAATAGTTAATATTTTTGATTATATCTGAATATGGTAAAAACATAATCAGAGTACTAACCAGATATCCAGGCTCAATGTAACTGAAAAGAATTACTCTATATTGTAAAACTGTATAAACTCTTTAATAATGTAGATAAAGCTAAATAATAAGGAACAGCTGATGAGGAAAATTCCCTTTCCCACATATTTCCTTACATTAAAGGAAATAAAATGTTATTTATAAAGATAAAACTTCTCTTGGAGTTTTTGTGGGCTTAAAAAAAGACTGTTGACAGTAGTTATGATTTATTGATAAAAACACTGGATGATAATGGTGTTGTTAGTCCATGGTGAATCTGTGGCCTTTGTGGATTTCCACTTTTTTGTGTCATCAAAGCTGGGCAACAACAATCTGGTTTAAATAAGTGAAAAAAATCTCATCTCTCAACATAGCTAATTATTGGATACAACAATCTGCACACTAAGAACGGTACATGAACGGTGTATTTTACTTGAATTAGTGCATAAAAAAAACATAGTTGTTTTTTATTTTTTTTAGGATAGAAAAATTGGGAATGTTGTTACTTAAAATTGTATTGGACGCAGTACAAATAATTACTAATTACATTCAGTTTAACGAAACCAGTGATTACAATGCTTACGGGAAAATTTGCTGTTGTAAAGACCAAAATTTCCCCATTGTGGGACAATATAGTGAATTTGTATTCTATTCTATTCTATTCTATTCTATTCTATTCTATTCTATTCTATTCTATTCTATTCTATTCTATTCTATTCTATTATATTCTATTCTAAACATTTCAGCTAATGTTGAGTATTCTATTTACTTTAACTCTGTTCTTTTAAACATTCTGTTCTGGTCTATGCCTTATAGAAAAAGACAGAGATGGCTCAATGTTATATTAGTGTTGCAAATCCTCGGATGGGATTTGCATTCCCAATAAATGTATGTAAATAAGAGGTGATCTGCTGCTTTCAAGGCCACTACGACATATGAGCTACCCCATTTTTTGCTGTCTATTTTTATGCATCCGTCTTACTTGATCGGACTGTGGTTAACACTAAGTCGAGTTAAAAATTTAGTCTGTATTTTAAACGTGGTGAAAAAGAGCACCCGTTTTCGGCGGGTTAATTTATCTCCTATCCGTTTAAAAAAATCCGTCTCATCAACGTAACGTGAATGCCGCACAACTCGAACGTTTTCTTTTAACCCGCCCATTTGCGCAGCGAGTGTTTTCATTGGTCGAGCTCTGTGCCTAACACATTCGTGACTCAAATCCCTGTCATGTGACCAATGTTTTGTTGAGTCGTTTCCGCATTCGGGGAGCGATTTTCGCAGTGTCATGTGAACAAAAAACTCCGGGGTTAATTTAAACAACCCCAGAATCTTTATCGGTATCGAGGAGACTCCCCTCCGCTGTTAAGGTCACTCCAGCGGCCGCTGAGAAAGAAGACTCCGGTTCCAAGGCGGTCAGCCATGGCGGACGAGGAGCGGTCACCGCTTCTGTCAGAGCAGCAATATGGGACCAACGGCTTCTTCCCGCGGGAAGGCTCGGATGGATATCCACAGAGTATGTCCACAGTTCCTTGTTTTTATGTTAGCTACCACAGCCAGATTCAAAGATGTGCGTTAAATCAATTTAAATCCCTTTAAAACATTCACGCGCCTGTATTAGCCTTGAACGTGCTAGCAAGCTTATAACCGTTGTAGCCTTGAGTTTGGATTATAGTGAAGACACACCTAGCAAAGGGTTCACATGTGATAAACCCCTTAGCATTCACATATGTCTCCTTTTAGATGCTTTTCAACTTCTTAAAGCTACAACACTAAAGTGACAGTGATTAAAAACGGTTATTTTAACTTTGTAAGGTGACATTTAGATATTTTGAATTTATGACATCAGAGATTATTTATCTTTTGCTTTTTGATGTTGTAGTATCTTGTTAAATGAATGTAACTCATGTACTAATGAGAGTAAAGCAGCATTTTAAACCCACCTATTGATATTTTACGGTATGCATGAGCCGCTGTTAAACAGGGAATCATAATAATAAAAAAATTATAATTGAATTTTATTGATCTCACAATAGAAAGTCCAGCAAGTTTTTATGCAGGATCTCCTGGATGGATGAGATCAGGGCTGAAACCAGGGTCGCTCTCATTACAAAGAGTTAAACCTCTTCATTTTAAAGTGCCCAAACAAATAGCAGCTACTACAAGGTAACTGCAGCCCCTCCTCCACCTATTGCTGTGTATTGCAGGTCATCTGGCTGGCTTATCAGCAAGAAACAAATTGTCTAATATTCAGTTAGCTAAAACACAAAATAAAAATAGCAGTACATTTCTGTTATTTATGAAAATGGTAAGCAATTAGCGGTAGATTATGTTAAATGCTTTATATGTAATTTTTTTTCTTTTAATATATATACTCCAAAACTTTCATTTTCTCTGTCTGCAAAACTACTTTTCATGTTTGTACTTCCTCTTTCACTCTCAGTTGTGTTTTGGCCTCTGCTCCGGCTCTCTGGTTGTCTCCGCCATGTTGTTAAGTACAGTATATGACTAAATGACAGATAACAACAGAGTAAGAGGAGCCTACATCTATACTGATATTAATACTTTCAAGATATAACTGTGTTGGGGAGCTCATTCTTGATAACTGTGAAATTGACATTTTTTTTGCAGATGGCATCATATGAAAAGGTAAACATAAACAAAAAAAAAATCTAAACCTAAAAAATGCTTTTGTTAATGCGCAAGACTTTAGTTTTATTATCCGTAAATATATGACTGTTATTTATAGTGATAACGATTGCTTCAGTCAGCTGGTTGTAGGGAAGTCATATTTAAATGTCAAATCATTTCTGGCTTAAACATGTAAATAAATGTACTCTTTATCAGACTATATTGTCCCAAAAGTTTCTATTTAAAAAAAAATCCTGTCTTAAAATCAGTTTTTCTTTCGTTATCTTTATATAGCCAGTTAGTTATACGTCAGCCTGAACATCTAAATTCGGCCAATCATATATCAACGGTCATCTGTCAATCAAATTTTTTCGGTCATAGCATCTGGATTCATATGTCCCAGCTAATATACGCAACGGTTGAAATAATAAATAAGAATAATTTCCCATTGAGTTTCATCCCAGTGTTCACGGGGATGGACGTCTGTGTCTTCAGCAGGCGTAGAGCTAACAAAACTGGCAGCGTTGCGAGGCAAGGGCTCAAACATGTACGGCTGTAAGCCTTCTACACCAAACCAAGCTTCTGCTGCCCTGGCGTCCTCTTCCACAACAACTTTGTCCCCACTTTCCTCCTCTAAATAAAAAAATGTATGACTGAGGAGACTCATCCACGACCTCCGACTTAAAACTCTCCTCCTCTTGCATGTTTCCTCTGTCCATAACATTCCTTGAAAGTGTCGTTGCTAAGTCACCAATTTATTGCTACATGGTCCCAATGGAATTTCCCATTGGGAACCTACTAGCACTAAGTTGCTAACTGGTTAGCAAAGATGCTTCCGAGAAACCAGCCACAACCAAACCTCGTTAAATTTGATCAACCGCCTTTCTACAAAGCCCCAGTGTGACCTCTATTAAACTCTGTCGACTGCTGGTAGTCATGCATCTGCTGGGTCTCTGCTGTGTGCATCACTTCACACAGTATTGAGACTGAGGCTTAATCCCAATGCAGCAAATTGGTTAAGACTCCTAGGAACTGGACAGAGTTGGCCATGTGTGCTGGCAGTAAGTGGGCAGGTAGGATGAAGGAAACAGGAAGCTTCCTACAGAGCTGGACTGTGTCTGAAAAAATGGCCTGGGCATTTTTGGCATCATGATTAGTTCGATAATACGGAGAGACATTCAGCATACCAGAGGACATGTGTCACATTGTGTGGTTTAAAACATGAATACACAGGGATAGAAAATACATTACATAAAAATTGGTAAATAGGTTACTTAAATATTAAGAATATGTATTCAACCAGATATAAAACTGTTGGTATGTTAAAACCAAAATAGAAAATATACCAAAAATAACTTGATGTAGACTGAGCAGATAGAAAAAAGTTAAACAAAAAAATCTTGTGTTCACTGTTTCTCATTTCAACACAAGTGTAGATGTCAGCATTTCTGTTTATATCAGTCAGTTCTTCATTCAGCAAAGCTACTGATGATCAACCGGATATTTACTTAACTATAAGTGGGAGTATTCCAAAGAATACACATTCCTACAGTAATATATTTGTTTTTAGAGACATACTTGTGTTTGTTTTAATAATAGGTGCAGAAAAACATATTTTTTTCTAATGATTAGTCAAGTATGTAACTAGTTACTAAACCCCACTATGTTTTAAGTTGTTCATTTTGCCAAAGCAATGTCTTACTAATGCTAACTATATCATGTTATTGAAAAAAAACCAAACTAAATGACTAGTTAAAATAGTGTAAGTTGCATGTTTTATGGAAATGTAAATGTTTTTGTTACAGCATTCCAGCACTGCCTCCGTTTCCTTCCTGTTTCTTACTAGTTTGCTTATAAGAGGGAAATTTCTCTTTTGGGGCAAATGAGTGTTCACTAGTGCAAATGTTTCTTACTGGACTCTTAGTAGCTATTCTGATCTGCTCAGTCTGTCCCTGCTGGGTCACTCCTCTCTCCTCCTCCTCTAAATCCACCTGCATTAGCCTTCTGCTCCTTCCTGCTGCTCCAGTCGTACCTGTGGAACAAAACAAACGTGTTATTTTGAAATATTTGGCGGGCTGCTTGAAGGCTTTGGAGCCTTTCTTTACTTTTCTGTCAGATTTTCCATGTGTCATATGGTTTATTATATTTTTAGAGGGTAAAAGAAGCTGGCCTCTCCAAATCTGGACGCCTCAAAGGTTTGATTAGCTCAGTCAGTGAGGGGAGGGCCGAGCTGAGGAGGGTTTGGCATCTAAACAAAACATGTGCTGCTTTATAATATAATTCATTTTTTAATCCTTTAATTTGATTATCATTTGGTAAATTCATGGATTTATATTATATAGATGACTATATAACATAATTAATGATAAATATAATTTGGAATACATTATGATATATAACTGGGATGCCCAAAGACCAGTCAAGGCCTGGTTTCCTATCATAGTTCATTCAGCATCTGGTTCCTAAAAGCTATACGGTTTTCCCACAATCCTTAGCATGATGGGACATACAGGCGCAGCCCACCTTAAGGAAATGAACAAAAATAAACACATTCATCACATGCTAATGTACATGCTTACAAATGTTTTTGGTTTTATAACAGAGATTCAGCTGTTTTAACTTAGTGCTTTTTTAGTTCTTTTCAGAAGGCTGTAGTCACAATTTGTCTGTCATTTGCCTTTCTTTTTTTGAACTTTATTGCCTTAAATTCAGATTAACAGGCAATTAGCATCACAAAGAAAAATTGGGCAAAACAGACAGAGAAAAAAAACCCAAAAAACTAATTGAATCTAATGTGTCACACAAATAGAAACAACAGAAATAAAGGGTAAAGCACATATCTTATCTATTTCTGTACCGCAAAAAAGGATATTTTAGATTTAGAAAAAGCGGTAATAACAATAATAATACATGGATATAATATGTGTATGAGTCCAAAGCAAGATATTCAGTAGCTGGGGTCCAGCTTCTCATAAAACAGGTACTTTTAGCTGTAATTGGGCAGTCATATCATCATGAACATGTTTTATTTTCTGTACGTACTGTGTGATCGTGGGAGGAGCAGTGCTTTATCCAAGTAATAGTAATATTTTTTCTTGCAGTCATCAACAGTATATGTAATATATAACAATGTTTAATGCTAAGCAAGTGGGCCGTTTTTTTCCCCCGTTGTGTAAAGATTTACTATACAAGTAGTGTGTTAAAACACAAAGAAAACGGTCCACTTTGGTGTTCTTAGCTGTTATATTTTAATGTTTAAAAAAAAAAAGCAATCACATCTTAGTAATTTAAACGTTATTTGTGCCTCTTTATTCTTGTATTTAGGTATAGTGCCGTTCCCAAGCTTTGTGGCACCCAATGAAGCGCCACCTCCGTACTCGCCTCAGGGCAGCCCGGACAGCAGCAGTGCCCCGGTCATCAGCTGTCGGGTCTGTCAGAGCGCCATCTCTGTGGAGGGGAAGGCGCACCAACATGTGGTGAAATGCAACATCTGCAACGAAGCTACAGTAAGTGATAAAGGAGCAAATTTAACCCCATGTTTGATCATAAGAGCCATGTGGAGCTGGAGGACTGCCTGTTAGTCCCTAACAGCCATGGAGGCAGAGTTCATCTGACCTCTCTTGGTTTCTGCTGATGTGGTCAAAATGAAAGCAGTTTGTTTCTGTTTTTGTCCGTAGCCGATAAAGAACGCTCCTGTCGGGAAGAAGTATGTCCGCTGCCCTTGTAACTGTCTGCTGATCTGCAAAGTGACATCCCAGAGGATCGCCTGTCCCAGGCCCTACTGGTAAGACTGGAAAATATGTAGTATGCAGTAACATTCAATAAGTTAGCATTTGCACCCTAATGTGGCTCATTTTTCTGATCAAATTAACCGTTTTAAAATAAAATCCTTTGAGTAGTTATTAAAGTCATAGAGAAGTCATATTTAAATTTCAAATCATTCTGGCTTAAACATGTAAATATATAAATGTATTCTTTATCAGACCATATTGTCCCAAAGTTTAGAACATTTCTATTTAAAAAAACATGCATATCAACGGTCATCTGTCAATCAAATTGATTCGGTCATAGCATCTTGATTCATATGTCGCATCTAATATATGCAGCGGTTGAAATAAGAAATACGAATACACAACATCTTCGTCCCCGCTTTCCTCCTCTAAATAAAAAATGGATGACGGAGGAGACTCATCCACGACCTCTGACACAAAACTCTCCTCCTCTTGCATGTTTCCTCTGTCCATAGTGTTCCTTGATGGTGTCGTTGCGAAGTGTTACTTGGTCCCAATGTAAATTCCCATTGGGAACCTACTAGCACTAAGTTGCTAACTGGTTAGCAAGATGCTTCAGAGACACCGGCCACAACCAAACCTGCTTGCAAAACTTCCACCACAACAACCCCGCCCCCTTGATAATCGACCAATCACATTCAAGTTATTCACTCGTGTAAATTCAGGCACCACTCGGGAGAATTTGGAAATGCAACGGCTGGAACGGCTGCTTCCCTACGAATTTAAAAATAATTTTATTAAGCTCATATTTTATTGAAATTTTATTTTAGTGGTCTTTTTCAGCAGTTGTAATAAAAAAAATCATATCTAAAGTAAAAAGTAAAGTGTATTGGGTTACTAAAATAAATTTTAACAATGTACTGATTTATTAGAATAGACTTCTATGCTGTGAAAATGAGCAAACAGAGGGATGATTTGGGTAATGTCACTGTAGGAGGTTCTGGGAGGCTTTCTGTTGATGTTTCAATGTTTTCTTGCAGTAAACGCATCATCAACCTGGGACCGGTCCACATCGGCAGCGACAGTCCAGAACCGCAGCGCCAACCTGTGGGGCTCAGGGTCATCTGTGGACACTGCTCCAACACATTCCTGGTGAAGCAGAAATCACTCTCACTGTTACTGGAAGCACAGACTTTTCCAGTTCTGTAGATTTTTACTTTCTTTATTCATCTCCTCCAGTGGACAGAGATCTCAGACCGGACTTTAGCCCGATGTCCGCACTGTCGAAAAGTGTAAGCATTTCTGCCCTTCTATGTATCAGAGTTGGACTGATCCATACCTCTGTGGCTTTGATTGTTGAAGGGGTTAAGTTTTGTTTTCCTGCTTTCCTCATCAGTTCTTCAGTTGGTCGGCGATACCCGAGGAGGAGAAGCTTGCTGTGTTTCCTGTTCTTTGTTGTGTTGGTAGCAGCCACTGCAGGACTTCTGGTGAGTTTGTATCTGAAACTGATGTCTGAGTGACGGATTTGTTTAAAGGAGACTATGATTTTTTGATAGAGTTCTTTTGTTGTCAGGGTTTCCGCAGATCATTAAAAGTCAATAAATTATTATTTTTTTTAATTAAGGCCTGAATTGGCATTAAAATTCATTAAAATTTGATTATTGTGGTATTTTAAATGTCTTATTAAAAAAGAAAGTTTATAAAAACAACTTTGTCAGATATGTCGCGATATATTTGCGCAGAACTGCTTCAGGTTGATCGTAAAGCCGTATTTTCGGAAAAGAAGTGAACAAGCTAGAGAATGGGGAAAATGCTAATTTTAACAAAAATGACTGGAAAACGAGGAATTTGGGACATTAATGCATCCTGTCGACAGAAAAGATGATGAAGGATTTTACCGTGTTATATATGGAAGTCATGGATACTCGTTGATGGCATTAAGATGATTTCTAACAGCATTAAATTAGAGTTACTCATTCCTGTATAAACCCTGGTTATTTTCATTAAACATTGATCTCATCTGAAGGGGTCATGCCATCCTAAAGGGGACATGACACACATTTCTGTGGGATCCAAAATCATTTATATTGTTTAAATTAGAAAGTTAGTCAGATAAAATCTTTGACAATCTTATATGAAAATAACAAAAAAAAATCCTGGAAAACAACATTTATGGTTGACTGATGACTTATTGTACATTGTACTATGAAATAAAAATAATTAAACATGATGGGGCTGATCATAGCTTTGATCAAATACAAACTGGAAACCAGAAAAGTAGTGACGGCAGTAATTATTGAGGGTTTAAACAAACTTTAAAGGGGGCATGGTGAGTACTGTGCTTATTAAAGGTACACTATGCAACCGGTGTTGATTTTCCAGTGAGGCTCCCTCCAGAGGGCGAAAGTAAAAGTGCACTGTCGTAAATATGCACAGCTGTTCTCCTGGTTTCTCCGTCAAGCCAGGCGCGGTTGTTTTGAGCTTAGCAGCGAATGACTAACGCTGCGTTCACACTGGACGTAGCTGGCGCGACAGAAGCAGCGAGTTTACATGCAAAGTCGATGGTTGACGCGCGTCAAGGCGCAGCAAAAGGTCCCGCGGCGCGTTTTGAGCACCAGGCGCAGCACGTCTGAGCAGCTGAAGCAGCGCATCGGGTGCGTTTAACGCAGGGAGAGAGACACAGCGCTGATGATCACTCCTCTTAAACAGTTTATTGACGCCTAAATTAACTTAAAATGCAGAAATCTGCCGGCAGAATATGCAGTTTGGATTATTTAGATGAAAAACACCTACCAGCTGCCGCGGTGAACCGCTGCTGATGAAGGGATCCATACTGTCGGCGCATCCCTGGTATGTGGGGGTCTGAGCGGCTCCGACAGAAAAAATATTGAAGGCAGGATAATAATCTGGATGAACTGACTGCACTGATTACGTTTTCAGGTGTATTTTCTCACTTAAACACATATTAAAACTACTTTATTCCCACTGTTCACAGCAAATATAGCTACAAGGCAGAGAAAGGATAGTGAAGCTCCGCCCAACGCGCGTCAGACACACTTTTGCACCCCGCTGCCAGAGCAGCAAAGCTGCTTCAGCCTCACGTCAGAACTAACTGGTACAAGCAGCAAAAAGGAAGCAGCAGACGCAATTTTGCTGCTTTTGCTGCGTGAACGTAGCATAACTGCACAAAGATTGCCACTGTGCTAGCAACGAGAATGCTTTTAACTGGGGGGTGTAGCAGTTCTCGCCGTAAAGCAAGACTGACTCTCACAAGACTTCTGAGCCTGTGGGTGCGGGTCGGTGCTCCTGCAGTTGCAAGTGCAGTATTTCCCCCACAGACCACCAGGGCGGCCGAGAATACCTTTGTTCAACCTGAAATGACTCATTTAGTCATCCATAACGTTATGGAACACATTAATTAACTGAAAAATGTTGCATAGTGTCCCTTTAAAGCCATGTATGCAAACAAAGCAACAAAGTCATTTTAAACCCCAGAAAATTAGCTGTCAACAGACATGAAGGTATTTGTACTCTGTCGCCATCTGCTGGCAGTACTTCATCCTACCAGCTTCCACAGCTGTAGCTCCTGCTGTAGTGAACACCAAAGTTCTTATCATTTATCATGTTCATGGCTACTACTCCTTTCTGATAAGTCAGGGCATTCAGTATCTTTTTTTTTTTTTTTTTTTGCTTTTTACATTTGATTTTAGACTCACCTCTTTCTTCTAACGCCTCTGTTGGGGAAATGCTGACGTGCTTCGCTCCATAACTTCCTTATTTACTCATGGTGAACATGAAAACTATCCTACCTCTGGTCATGTTGTCTTGCTTGAGTTTACGAACAAATGGAGCAAAACAAAACACAAAAATAGAATATGAATACGCCAGCAGTTGCTCTGATTTAATGTTCTAATTATAAATATTGTTTTTATTAGCTGTAAGCAGATAATATGTTTTGCTAAGATGATTATAGTTTTGGAAGATCAGTCTATATGTTTAACCTACATCATGTGTTTTATGTACTTAATTAAGATCCTGAAGTAAATAAACTTATATTCTAATTTATTGATTATGAATAAATTTGTCCAATTTCCAATTATGTAGGATTTTTATTGTAACAATTACCGGCGTAGAGAGATCAAAAGAATTTATTTAGTTGATAAGATTTAGTTTCTCTAGGTTAAAACAATAATGGCAGCTGTATTTTCATGTAATCTGGGCTAAATCCACACCTCCTTCAACTTGTAAAGAAGTTAACTTTGGCTAACTGCCAACTATTTTATGTTAGCTGACATAAATTAGCCAGTATTCCTATAGAGGATTTTTTAATTCATTACAATGAAACTTAAACGTTTGCCTCTATGCTATTGCTAGCATGTTGATAAACCGTTGGCTAAATGATCTCATTACTTTAGAATGCTAATAAGGTTTGTTAGCTAAAACACACACATATATGCACATTTGCTAACGCTAGAAAGATAACTCGCATTAGGAAACTATGTTCATATCCTAATTTTAGGTTATATTAATCTAAAATGCAAAATTTCTTTAAAAAAAAAACTCTCAGAGGTAATTTAAAATGTGTTTCCAACTCTTCTAGGTGCTTCCTTATCCATTTGATTTGTTTATTGTGGATATTAGTAGCCTTAGAAAGAAAGGATCTCCTGTAGTGGTCTGTCTCCTGGTCTGGAGGAGCCTCTGACTGAAGACACCGTGTTGTTCCACAGTCTTTAGAAGAGTATTATTTTTCGTTTTATGAAGAATTTCTAGTGGTTTTATAGGAGTTTCTAGAACACTGCTGGAATGATTTATATTCTGTTGAGCTTCTTTAAGTTCACTTCTCTGATGCTGCTGAACCAACAGAATAAACAATTAAATAATGAGCTAAGTCATCTGATAGCGAGTTAATGTATGTATTGTAGGCTAAAATTCTAACAATAATTGAAAAGCTAATATAAACATCTCTGCTAAAGCTTGTGAACTCCATGTCCGATACTCCTGTAAGAGATGAACAGAAATGGTTTGTCTATTTGGTTAAGTTTTTTTTTTTTGAGTACAGGTTGTTTTTATATGTTCTAAAAAACATAATCATACTTATACAAATCTTTTATGATTACGTATCTGGATTAAACAAATGTGTGTGTCTGTGTGTTAAAGGTTGGAACATGGAAACCGGCGCAGAACTCAAAAGGCATCTATGTTTCCTGGGTTCTCCTGATCCTGCTCTCCCTGTTCGCCCTGATAAGAACCTTGTACTGGAGATGTCTGAGGATCAGTGACCCCGTGTCCAACATCTCATAGAGAGACAGATGGAAGGAAAAAAGAGAGAAAGTCAGAGATCAAGTAGATGAATATGAGCACACAAGAGATCTGGTAAACGATCTGAGAGTTGGTCTGTTAACCTCAGAAGTTACGCAGAAGGGAAAACTAATAGAAGGAAATAAATATTTTTCCTGTTCTATACTGGATTTAAAGAAATGACAGCTGCTAGTTGTCCAAAAGCAACACTCAGATCTTATGGAGTTTTTTTTCTTTTCCATCCTATAGTTTAAAAAAAAAAAAAATTAGTAGCGAAGCAAAATGAATCTGAACCACAAAGCAGAATCAGCATCTTGTTATGCTAACCTCAGGTGGCTCAGAGCTTTTTACTATCACAGATTTAAGCCATAAAACTATCAACAAAGCTAAATCCTTGATCACTGCTTAAACACCAAGTTTGGACCAAAGCAGTTCCAACTATGACTGGAGCTGAGACCAATTTTGGGTTTATTTCCTGAAGACACAGCAAAGTACCTGTGTGTTTATTTTTTTCCTCAGCTAAAGCCATGTCAGACCGATGTCATTATATCCCTGGAAAAAAACATCTCATTCTGTCTTTGTTGCAGTTTGCGTTTCTATTAAGGGCTTTATAATTTAATCTCAGTGTCTTAAACTCACAAACTTTATAAAGACAGTTTTAAACAACAGTTGTATTTATAAATGTTCCTGGCAGTTGAAACAAGCATCTTCAGCATCCTGTTAGTATTTCTTTTTAAAAAGCAAAACAAAATATTGTTAGAAATACAGCTTCAAGCTGAATCTATAAACAGCTGACAGTGTTTATAATGTCAGCATTTATAAATACGAGCCGACAGAGTTTAATCATGGTGCTCAGAACCTATTGGAGACCGTCTCCAGCTCCTGATCTGTTCTATAGACCCGCTCAGAGCGGGTTTGGAAATTGAACTATTCTTTGCATAAATCTGTGTTTATATGGCATTAACTTCTAAATGGAGATAACAACAATTTAGCATTTGAAGGGTTTTGATTTGTCTATAAAAAAAAAAGCATAAAGATTTTCTTTTCTATTTTTTTTTTTAGCATTAAGTAAAACTAGATTCTTAATCTTCTAAAATGCTTTTAAAATGACTAAGAAACGCATTGCATAAACTTGCACTTTTATGTAGTGTTTTGCACTTCTAATGAGATCAAACACTTTTTCCTGCGTTCTTGATGAGGTTCAGTAAATGAATCTATAAGAATCGCTGATCATGAAAGAGGAGATACAGGCGAGCTTAGGGGAGGAAATTGCTCAGAAGTCGATCAGCTTCACATTTCATTCCCCAGTTTTCCTTCTTCCACAGAATCCTCTGCTTTCCTAAAACCAAAGGATTCCCAGATCAGGGTTATATTTTTAATGAATATGAGGCCTCAGATCCACAACTCATCTATTAATGCGGACAGCTGGTGGTTAAACCTTCTCAAATCTGAGTAGTTCATGTTAATGTAGCCACTTACTGCAGATCTGTTGAGCCTGCTTTGCGGTTACTGAGTGCTACAGGTAGTAAGATTCCATTCTGCTCCATTTTTGGACTGTTTCTACAAGCCAGGAGTCTGTTAAAATGTCAGCAGTATTTCCCCCTGCAAGACTGCTGGGACTTCGAAGGAAAAATGAACTGAAAATAGGAACTAAGTGAAGTTTTGCTGAGCTCCATTGTTTAGAACTGACAGACTGGAACTGATGGCGTGTCATGCAGTCCACTCGTTATCCTTATCCGTTTTAAAATCGATCATGTTTAAAGCAACATTTTAATCCTAACTTCAATATCTGGGAGATCAAATTTGGATTATTACTCCACTCCTAAAATAATTATTTCGATCTTTTTATGCTGTACCTCTATGAAACTCTGCATCAGAGTCTAATTGCAATAAAAAGAGCTAACAAACAAACAGTAAAGTGAAATGGCTCTAAAAATGAAATATAAATGGATCAATCTTACAGGTTGTTAAAGCATTTATTTTCTAGCACTATTATTGGCTTTGAATGGACTTAAGCTGTCTATGTTTCTCTTCATTTCAGATCTACAGCTAGTTTTAAAACAGAATTAATGAAATGGCATCATCAATTGTTTATCCAGAATCTAAGAAGCGTCAGACGACTCACTGTGAGTCAAACTTAAAGAAGTGAAGGTTTAATGAGTTTCAGATGACTTGAATCCACCAGCTCCACCTGCGGGTGTAGCTTCTACAATAACAAGATGATGTCTGAAATAAAAACCATAGAAGCATCTTTTTTTTCCTCATGAAGCCTAAACGAACATTTTGAGCATGAAGCATTCCCTTTAGAGGCATTGTTTTTAATCGTGTAACCATGGAAACAGGTTTATTCTGTGGGTTAAGAGTAATAAAACGTTTTGCTTCCAACTGAAGGCCTTGCTTAGTTTAGAGTGTGCCTATGAGATATAAATATATATATATATATTACTTCAATCACAGTTTATTTAATGTGTAAATAAGATGGATAATTTATGGGTGAATGATTTTTGCGAGGCTTTAAAGTTGATCATCTCTTTGTGTCGATTAGCATGTCAGCGACAGAATCATACAGGGACTTTCGAACATATCTGATTTACTTGTCCTTTTTTTCCTCTTTATTGTGCATTTGTTTATTTGTAAAATAACAAACCTAATTTTTGTTTTAACTTCCCAACTATAAGTTTTTGAATTTTGCTGAAATCGCTTTAGTTATAAACATCCCGGAATCTAATGAAATCCTCTTATATTTGGATAAAAATGTAAATATTCCAGAGGTTTCTGCTGCCTCCTTGTGATTGGTTAATACATGTACCTGCTGACTGTGACATGTTGCACTACATTGTACTGAAGTACTACTGCTGTTTGGATGTTTCACTGTACTTTTGGTGGATGGATGTTTTATTTTGCATTTTGTGAAACAAAGTAATATCTTTAACAGAGCCCTCATTTGAACGTGATTTCTTTTCTCTCATGGTCTGTTTTTGAAAACAAGGATTTCTTCCTGATCTTAAAAAATGTAATTCTTAAATTCTAGGCCTTAAAGTTTAAAAAATAGTCTTATATTCCGTGGCAAGTTTTAAAATACATCTATAGTATCAATTTGTACATTTACTCGTTTCTCCATTTCTTTTTTTCAGGTTCTTTTTTCAGTTTTTTCAGTTAGTTGTTACCGTTTTTAATTCTTTTCAGATTTGTAGGATGAGGCTTTCAAACAAAACAAAAAAACTTAAAAACCTCATGATGTCGGAAAACAGAGACACCAAAGTAATTTGGAAACCCAGTTTCTGGAGTTAAATACAATTCTCCAAAGAAAGGGTGAATCCAGATATCTTAAAAAATATTTTGTAGAATGAACATTTAGTATTCTTTGGGTGGTCTTTAAATTGAGAAAGTAAAAATCCATATGGTTAATTACACATAGAATGAAATATTCCGAGCCTTTATGTATAGCCCTTATATTCACAATTAAAGCTCACAGACAATGAAAACATAAAGTTTACCGGCTCAGGAGATTTCATAAAATAAATTCTAAAAGTATTTTAACATACAGGTGTTATGTAACAGCCAGCGATATGGCCAACAACTGGGAAGACTGTTGACTAAATAGATGTTCAGCAGCCATTAAAACCTTCCACCAAAGAAGATAAGGTACATAAGGTCATTGCTAAAGAAGCTGGATGTTCAGAGTGCTGTATCTATGCATCTTTAGAGAAAGATGAATGGATGGAAAAGTGTCTCTGGGTTAACTGCAGCCTTTAGAGGGTAAGTAGGATTTAAAGGAAGTATTGGCCTGAGGCTGGAGTCGGTGCATCTAGAGTCCCACACACACAACTTTCCTTCTCAAGCCATCGCTAAACAGAAACTATCTGTCCCTACGCTAAGGAGGGGGAAAAATGAAGTGACTGCTGCTCAGTGATCTAAAATCCTCTCTCCAAAAGAAAGTACTTTTTTATTTTTTTTATTATTTAGAGATCAAGCGTCCTGGAGTGGAGAGGAGCAGAAGCAATGTTGCTTGAAGTCCAATCCAGTAATTCCTTTACCAGGAAACATCGGAGTGCCTCATGCTGATGAGCTGAGTGATGATGACTTGATTTTCCAACAGAAACTGGGCTAATCTCAGCTGCATATAGAGAATCCATGCTGGAAAAATAAGTAAAAAAAATTTAAATTAAGGGTATTTGCCCTTAATTTGTGTTGGTAAATGAGGTAGTTTGCCAATGGAATGAGTTTTTATTACTCTTAAAATACGATAATTTGATAAAATGCACTTGAAATAAGAAAATACAGTTGTGTTTTCTTCTTTTAAATGTAAATTGTCTTATTCCATATGCAATTTTTTTCTTTTACCTCCTCAATACAAGAACAAATGCACTTATTTTAAGGGAAAAAAATGACATCTAGATTTAGATTTTTCCCCCCCCAGTGTATAGAAGAGATGACATAAGAACAAATTTAGATGACCTAGAAGGAGCTGTGATGAAGGTTACTGCTTCCTGAAGTCACACCTCAGGGCTTGTATTTCCAGTTCTTTTGCCTGGAGTGATCACTCTTTTAATAGCATTTCTTGTTAAAGCAGAGAAATTGTTGTAACCAGGCATTAAACTACAATATGATTTAATCTAAGATTAGCAGAGGATTGGTAAAAAAAAAAAAAAAAAAAAAAAAAAAAATATATATATATATATATATATATATATACACATATAATAATTGGAAGTGTTCACCAGCGTCACAAAACAATGAAAAACATTTTATGTGGGTTCTTATACCTCAGTGAACAAAGTGTCACACTAAGTTGGTGTAGAACTGATAACTGCTGTTAAGTATCCCAGCCACTGACATACACACCCCCTTATTAAGCCTAGAATAGTAACTGTTATTATCTATATAGACTGGTATATCTGCATTGGCTGCTCAGTATCCTCCCATTCTATTCTCCTAACTTTGATTTAGCAATGAATTTGGTTGCATTTCTACTGAGAAAATGGATCTCTGCTGCAACTAATCTGACTTCTGTGGAAGATGATATAAAACATTAGAATTTATATATGATACAACAGGTAGAAAAAAAAAAAACGATATCACTAAAAGATAAGAATAAACCTCAATATTATAAACAATTTAGGTATTTAGGGTTTAACAAGTATATTTAATCCTAATATATTAGGATTATTCTTAACACAACCTGGGATTAGTACTCCTCAGCTTGATGCTACGTCACCTGGATGCAGTAATTCATTCATAATCAGGTCCAAACAAGCACAGAGTGTCAAGGTTTCTATCTTCATCGGTCATGGAGCAAGAGGCGTTTCATCACAGAG